ATTGCAATACGCCCTGGTGACAGTTTCACAAGCATCAACACGAGGCAAGAAAGATCACCGTGTCCTCAAAGAAACAATTCTGAATTTCTCCATCAGAAAGATCTGTCAGATCTTCCTCCATCAATAGACGATGCATCAGACGTGATTAAATTGTATAAAACTATGACCACTCCTGTTACACATACACAGACACACACACACACACCCCGCACAACTGCATGTAAAAGCTGGTGAAACGTGAGTAGGATCTAGACCCTAGTTAATAGGATGGTACTGGTGTCAAGTTCTGATTTAGATATCATAATTATGCAAAATGTAATGGTAAAATGGGTACCCAGGATCTCTTTGTACTATCCTGAATTTCCTTTATCAAAAATATAAGAAGAAAGAAAAGGAAAATAGATCAAAGTCTACAACAGAGATCTGAAAGAATTAAAATGATAATAAAGAATTCTATGGGCCCGATGCTGTGGTACAGCGGGTAAAGCCACCACCTGCGGCGCCAGCATCCCACATGGACCCCAGTTCGAGACCGGCTGCTCCACTTCCAATCCAGCTCTCTGCTATGGCCTGAGAAAGCAGTGGAAGATGACCCAAGTCCCTGGGCCCCTACACCCATGTGGGAGACCCGGAAGAAGCTCCTGGCTCCTGGCTTCGGATCAGCACAGCTTGGGCCGTTTCAACCAACTGCGGCTTTCTAAATGTTGAAAATAATGTGGGATGCCACCAAGAGTGAAAACAACATTTAAAATTTTTTTACTTATCAAATTTTTTAAATGGACAACAGTGCTCTAAAAGGTTTACTAACAAGCACTGAAACTAAAGCGCTTTAAACCTAAACAGGTTTAGAAAGTGGGAAATGTAATTTCCTACCACTTGTTTCATCATACGTGGGAAACAGGGAAACTAATTCTTTTAATTTATTTTTAAAAATTCTTACTTGTTTGAAAAGCACCGAGACAGAGACCTCACATTCACTGGTTCACTCCCCAAATGCCTAGGGCTGGGGCTGGGGCTGCGGCTGGCCTGAGGCAAAGCTGAGTGCAGATCTGCAAGGCAGGACCCTCATCACTCGAGCCAGCCCAGTTGTTTCCCAGGGCCTGCCTCAGCGGGAAGCTGGAGGCAGGAAGCAGATAAGAGAATTGAACCCAGGCACTCTGGTGTGGGATGCAGCAGTCTTAACAGCTAGGCTAAATACTGGCTCCCTACTGCTTTTTAAGGCTGATACTCAATGTGTTTAGGACTTGCTAGGTCACAAGGACACAAAGAATTAATTCCAAAAACCCTGGAAAACGGGGCACAAAATCTCAATTTTACTGCCTGGCACCCCACCAGGCCAGCTCCACCTGCTCCCTGCACCTCTCCCGGACACAGCAAACTGACACGGTCACACACTGTCCACCAGGGGTCTTCTGCCCGCTCAAGACCGCGTCAGCACAGTGGACACGGGTCTCTGTACATCCCACGGCCCTCCCTTCCTGGGGGGCTGGATCTTCTCACACCCAGCGGACTGTGTGAGCCCAAGTCTCCCTTCCCACCGACGTTGCCCTGTCTTCAATGAAAGCCCTCCTGCTTTAGCTGGCTGCCTCCTTGACTCCTTCTTCTTTTACAGGATAAAAAGCAGAATTGAACTGTTCAACCCTCTAGAGAAAAGAAAATCCAAAATATAAGACCCCATGGAGAAAAACAGAACATCTAAAACAATGTTCAATAAGAAAATAGGCAACAAGACAAAAGCAACCACAAATAGCTTCACTTTCCTATTAGGCATGCCTCCAAATTAGTTAAAATAATGTTTCTCCCCACTCTTACCCATCTCTTAAATTTTATAATTAATTGTCTTTACCAGTGATGCACTAGGAAGTCAACAACTAAAGGTTTAATTCTTTTTTTTATTTTACTGGGGGAAACAGAAACAAAGTTGGGATGGCACTGTCAGTATTGGGCAATGGCAGGAAACTTCTATTACTTGACATTTAAAATTTTAAAAATTATAAAGCATTGATAATTAAAAAGTTTAGTAACAACAGAATAATAACGTTTCAAATGACCAGAAACAGAAATTTGTGTGTTGTAACATAAAAGAACCTGGCCCTCTACTGAAGTAGTGTTTTAAATCAATGAGGAAAGGACTATTGAAAAATTTAAAAGCAGCAGAATTGGTTATGTGGTCAAAGTAGTAATTTCTTGCCTTTGTCCAACCATGCTAAAATAATTCTAGTTGAGTATAAAAATCAAACCACAAAAGATCAAGAGGAAAATATGAAGGTATTTATCAGATCACAAAGACAGTCTTTCCAAATATTTATCTGTGTGCTGATAATGTCCCACTATAAACAAAATGCAAGGCAAATGACAGACCTACGAGAAATATGTGTAACAAGATAAAAATTACTAACATACTTCAGCTATGCAGGCAAGAGATATGATTAGATCATCCACCCAAATGCCCCAAATTCAAATACTTGTTAAACACATGAAATAAAGACGCTACCGCTAACAATAAAAGAAACACAAACGAAAACAACTGGATAAGCACTCGGAGCGTAAACCTGTGTAGCACCTATGGAGATCAGTTTGGCAACAGGTCACAAGCCTTACACTTGTTCTTGGCTTGCTGGGGAACTCACACTAAGGAAATAGTAAGACGGGGTACTAAGACTTCGCCTCAAGCATAGAGAATGAGCAGAGCAGTGGTAAACAGGCCGATGGAACAGGGCGGGCCCGCCACTTGGATGCCCAGCAACACAATGAGGTCAACCAAAGTAATGCCTTCTAGAGCTTTCTGGGGATCTGAAGGGAGAATCATGTAGTTCTCCATGGTCCCTAGCCCACAGCAAGGACTCAGGAGCTCAGACACAGGCAGGGGGAGGGACAGCATTTAGCTACAACATTGCATGGCAGGTTCAAAGTCCCTCATCTGAAATGCTTAAAGTCAAATGTGCTTCAGATTGAAGACAGTTTTGGATATTAAAAGGAAATAACAGTACACTTACATAACTAGTCTGAGATATTGCCCAGTAATTTTACTTACTACTATAGTAAAATATTTAACATTTTATAAATATTTATTATTCCTATGGTAAAATACAGGAGTATTCACTTTAAGGGAGATAAACATCAGGTCAAGTCAGGTTTTACTGTCAGATAAGTTATGAAAAAATGTTCCATTTATTTTCAGAAGCTTCCGGACTACAGATGTGCACAAGAGGGGCTGAGGCTATATTTACAACACAGAACATTAGACTCTACCTAAAGGTATAATGTAAAGGATAGGTTAGAGAAGTTCTGATATATTCATACAACGGAAAACCATACAGATACACAAAACAGCAAAAGTCATTTTTCAAAAGGTATTTAAAGAAATGTGAAGATGTTCACAAATACTAGGTAAAAAAAAAAATTGGAGATTTTTTTTTTTTTTGACAGGCAGAGTGGACAGTGAGAGAGAAAGACAGAGAGAAAGGTCTTCCTTTGCCGTTGGTTCACCCTCCAATGGCCGCCGCGGCCGGCGCGCTGCGGCCAGCGCACCGCGCTGATCCGATGGCAGGAGCCAGGAGCCAGGTGCTTTTCCTGGTCTCCCATGGGGTGCAGGGCCCAAGCACCTGGGCCATCCTCCACTGCACTCCCTGGCCACAGCAGAGAGCTGGCCTGGAAGAGGGGCAACCGGGACAGAATCCAGCGCCCCGACCGGGACTAGAACCCGGTGTGCCAGCGCCGCAAGGCGGAGGATTAGCCTAGTGAGCCGCGGTGCCGGCCAAAAAATTGGAGATTTTAAGAGGAAAATTACATAGGGGGCCACTACTCGGCCTAGGGGTGATGGCGCTGCTTGAGATGCTCCCATCCCATCCTGGAATGCCTGGCCCAAGCCCTGGCTCCACTTGCCCTGCCAGCTTCCTGCCAGTGTGCACCTTGGGTGGCAGCAGCCGTGTCTCAACTACCTGGGTCCTTGCACCCATGTGGGAGATCCAAACGGAGTTCCTGGCTCCTGGCTTCAAACTGGCCCCAGCTGCTGTGTGCAACATTCGGCGAGTAAGCCAGCAGATGGAAGACCCCTGTCCCTCTCTGTCACCCTTTCAACTAAGAAATACATAAATAAATCTTAAAAAAAAAAAAAAAAAAAAAAAACCACCACATCAGGATGTTAAAGTAGCCACACTATGTTCTTTAGACTTCTGCACCTTCTAACCTTCTGTGGTAATCAAGAAAACCATCCATTTGTTAAGCCCTTTATGGTTCCTGGGCAGGGCTAAGCTGGGTGTCACTCTGGAGAGCTAACGAATCCCGCTTTGCCCTCGAGGAGTCTCCCGTTCATCCCTGAAGGGCTCTGGGTGTCACTCGCTGCATTGCATCCCCTATCAGTGATGCCTGTACCACCAGCACCTCAGGACAACGTGACTCAGGCACCAGCACATTTTCCCACCTTTGCCACATGAAACGCCGGTGACCCTGCAAGTCAGAGTGAAAATGGCATCGGTGGTGCCTTGAGAGCTCCATTCAGCCACGTCCCTACCTAAAACACCAACATTCAAGGCCTATTCCGATGTGTTTGGTTCTTTCTTTACTGTACTCAAAACATTTCAATCCTTTAAGAAGCTGTTGAGGGGAGAAGGTGTGTTGCAGGGCTTTTCCTAACTGGTCAATCGACTCAACACCCAGTCATCTCAAGGCTGGGCTGATGTGTCATCACTTCTACACAGAATCCCAACGGCCCTTTCAAATTATCAGTGAGACAAGAGAAACCCTTGTGCAAAGCTTTTGCCACACCTAAGTCACAGCCAACTATGAAGTTAAATAAGAAGAGAACTCTTTTAGCTCAATGCCACAGGAAACTCTTTGTTTGCAGGTGAATTATCCACTGAGGAGACGTCTTACTTGCGGAGTACTGATCCTTCTCTCCTTCTCCCTACCTCCTTCCCCTCTCCCTTCTCCCTTCTCCAACCCAAGCAACCAGGACTTTCTGGAAACCAACGGCCTTCCAATGTGAAGGGCTGACTTACCCTATCCCAGCTGAACCAGAGGCCCAGGTGATCCAGCTGTTTCCTCATGTGCTTAATATTACTGCAAAACAAAGGGAAGAGAGTTTTTGCTTTTCAGAGCGGGGTTGAAGCCACAAACAAATGATACTTAGAGGATGTGAAGGGAAACCCGTCTAGATGAGAAAATATAATTGGTAAGAATCCATCAAAAACAGCAACCTATTAGAAGACACTGCTATTGACACAAACAGAATATACTAGAAACCACATGGTCTGAGGCCCTGAGGACTGCCCCTTCAGCTCAGCAACACCTTCAACAGGTACACTCCTGGACCATCCATAGGTCTGGAAGACTCCAGATATACAAATTTAAACCAAGCATTTACAAGCTGAAGAGTGATGAAAACAAAAACCGCAACGTAAAGATAATTGTGTGAATCCAAATAAACCATACAGCCAATCAAAACCTAGAACTACCCAACAATTGTGAAACAGCAGGGAGTTAACCAAGTCATACAGAATAAGCAAACAAATCAATTTGTCTATTTCTGTTTTTAAAATTTTATTTATTAATTTTCATTTTTTATCTGAAAGGCAGAGAGAGAAAGAGGAATAGAGAGACAGACTAAGAGATAGACAAAGAATTTTCATCTGCTGGGTCACTCCCCACACACTTGCAAAGGCCCGGGCTGGCCCAGACCCCCGTCAGGAGCCTGGAACTCAATCTGATCTCCTAAGCAGGTGGCAGGGGCCCAACTAGTGGAGCCATCACCACTGCCTCCTAGATGCTCACTAGCAGGAAGCTGGATCGAAAGCCAAGTAGTGGGGACTAGAACCAGGTACTCCAATTTGGGAAGCAGGCAACCCAGGCGGTGATTTAACCACTGCATCAAATACCCACTTCAATCTTTTTCTCTTTTAAAGAAAAAGGATTACTTTATTTCTACTGCATCCTCTTTCGGTTCAGGCAAATCGAAAACATGAAAAACCATGCAGAAGTCCTTCGTGTAGTCTCTGATTAGCTACTTAACCCTAAGCCCTGTGCTAAACACTTTGCAGAAAAGTAATCTTTACCCAGTCATACCAGGTGGGAACTCTGACTATTCCTCCTGTACAGTGAAGGAAGCTGAGGCACAGAGAAGGAGAGCCAGATCCCCCACTAGGGGGCGCACCCAGGAGCCACCTTCTCGACCACTCAGCTCTAGAAGAGGAGTGGGCAAACTTGCTCTGAGGAGGTGAATTCACCAGGGGGTGAAAGTCAGTTTCACAAGTTCCATGGTCCCCATCACAGGTATTACATCATGATAGCCACGGGGGATATGGAAACCAACAGACGTCACTGTGCCCCAACCCCATTTTATTTACATAAACAAGCAGGGCTGGATCTTGTCTAGTTTGCCAACCCCTGGTCTAGCTTACATCAACTTATGCCATGTCTGATCTATTTTATTTGAATCATTTCCTCCTACTCCTATAAATCTAAGAATTAACCATAACAGAAAAAGTACAAACTAGGGTTGGACCAAGTGGGTGGTGCAGCAGCTGTTTTTACGATGCAGCCTTGGGCAAGAGAAGGCCAAGGGAGGTCAAAGACACTGGGGACAGATCCTGGAACTGTTCTTCTGTGTAACTGAGAGGTGGGAGGGAGGGGGTGGGGAGCAGTTCTAGAGCTTTGGGAAAGGGGTTAATGCAGTGGGCCCAGAAGATTCTGCTGGGTTCCAGTGTGAGGGCCTGAGGACTTTACCGGGAGGAGGAGGGGTAAGGTGCTTCTGGCCCACGTGTACCTGGAAGCCAGAGGCATGGGTGGCACTGGGAATGTGTCCCCTTGGCAAAAACCACAGCAGAATAAAGTGGTTGTATGTCTCCATGTTGCTTGTCTCCGTACCCCTTGCTCATGAATGATGAAGGCAAAAACTTAACAGAATTTTCAGAGAAAACCACAATGCTTAGCTATGGGTCAAACTGAAGTCGAGAAAAGAATAAACACTACAGAAATTTAACAAACATAACCTTCTCTTTCCTTTTCCTCCCAAACCCAAATACTCAAAGGAAGAATAACTTTTTAAATAACAAAGCATCAAAATGCACATCTAAAACACTCTTTGATAAGAACACAGCAGGATAAAAGGCAAACACCAATATGCAGATATTTCAAAAGTTAATTGAAAATGGAATGAAAGGACGGGTTTCCTTTGATGCAAAAAGAAGTTGAAGCCCATGCCTTACTTCTTCAAAACATACATTTCCAACATTTTGAAGACCTCTTGTATATGCAATCCTATTCACCTCTTAGCAGTCTGCCATGTTTGTGGCAGATTAAAAAAAAAGGGATTTTGTATTCAAGTGTTTGAATCTACCTATAAACCACATACCTCCGTGTCCAAGTGTTCACGTCTACCTGCAAACCACATACCTCTGTGTCCAACTTTCTGGATGCAGATTTCTCTCAATTGCAGCGTTCTCAGCAGGCAATCCGAATGCATCCCATCCCATAGGATTGATGACCTGGCACCCAGAAGAGAAACATCAACCATGGCAGATTCTTAAGTCCTGCGTCAGTATTCCCCTGTGGGCCACGAAGAACATTCTCTCCCGCTAACACATTGTATTCCTCTCTGGATGATTTCAAACTATGCATTCGAGAGCCAGCTACGTATCTAAGACATAAGTAAGCATGGATGTGGATTTAGAAGGTTATACACCCAAGCGCTAACAGCCATTATCTCCGAGCAGCTGTTTCTGTACTTTCTACTTCCTTCTTGTCTCTATGTCTATTATGAATCCAAATTGTTTTCTGAAATTATACAAAGTTTCTTTCAACTTTATTTTTTAAGGATTTATTTATTTGAGAGCTTGTTTGGAGCTTCTAGCAGGGGAGCACAGCTACTCATATACTCTTGACGGAAGACTGGTCCTCCTCCAGTGGGGAAGGTCGTCCTCTTCGACCGAGCACGCAGCTTCGGGAGGGACGCACATGCAGCGGTGAGGGAGGAAGGGGACACCCGCCTAGCCAGCCAGATCAGCCGAATCAACCCTGGCGATCAATGGGGTGACAGATGTCACAGCCAGATCGCCCTCACAAGTTATTTATTTATTTGAAAGGCAGAGTTACAGAGAGAGACAGAGACAGAGAGAAGCTTCCATCTGCTGGTTCTCTCCCCAAATGGCTGCAACGGTCAGAACTGGAGCCAGGAGTTTCGTCAGTCTCCTGCATGAGTGGCAGGGGTCCAAGCACTTGAGCCATCTTCTGCTGTTTCCCAGGCACATTAGCAAGGAGCTCAATCAGAAGAGAAGCAGCTGAGACTTGAACCAGCACCCATATGGGATGCCAGCACCACAGGGGGAGTCTTTACTGGCCATGCCACAGCACCGGCCTGTCTTTCAACTTTAAAAATGCGTATACCTAAAACTGAAAAGGCTTTCAAGGGGTCAGTGTTGTGGCACAGTGGGGTAAACTGCCAGCTGCAACACTGGCATCCCATACGGGCACTGATTCAAGTCCTGGCTGCTCCACTTCCCATCCAGCTCCCAGCTAATGTGCCTGGGAAACAGCAGAAGATGGCTCAAGTGCTTGGACCCCTGCCACTCACGCAGGAGACTGACGAAACTCCTGGCTCCTGGCCCCAGCCTGGGCCAGCCCGGGCCACTGAGGCCATTTACTGAGTGATGCAGTGCAGCCACCTTTCCAATGTGCTGATGTCACATGTCTTGTATGGCTACGGCACTGGACAGTGGAAACACAGAAGACTCCCACCACTGCACAAAGTCCTACTCACAGTGCTGCCCTGGACGTGCATCGTGAGTGGTGGCCACACAGCTGGCTCCTGGCAGGCCCAGCTCAAGGAATCAGTGCCCGGGGCACCCTCCCCACCGCATGACCTTGCCTGAACGCAGCACACATTGCACATGTATGCACATCACTCAGCACCCTACCCAGGCTTCCCCAAACCCCAACGTTCTGCTCTTCTTCTCCCTCCTCCCCTCCCCTTACTGAAGTATGCCCTCTTGAAAGCCTGCTCCCCAGTTCTTCCAGGCAGTCCATCTCCTTCTGCCCTACAGTAAGGAGGGGATCACCCCACCCTTATTCAAACAGTCAGCCAGGGAGAAACTAACTTGGAAATATACATGAGAATATTTGGGGCTGGAAAAAAGTCTATCTTTGGACCAAGCCCTATACAGCATTTGTAGTAATTTCTGGAATATCCTACGCATAGTTTTAAAAGTAATTGCAAACTGCTTGTTATGATTTTGGTATAAGAAACGCTCCCCATCTCTTCTCTGTTTTCCCAGCTGTCAAATGGGGATGACAGTAACTCCTCATCAGATTGCTATGAGGATTAAATGAGCTGGTGAAAGTGTTGAGAATAGGGTCTACCAGGCAGGCCATGGCTCTGGTGTTAGCCATTATTATTAATTATTAATATCAGTCCTAACAATGATACTTTCATTCTCCAAAGAACAGACTCTAGAGATCTTAACGCTCAAAGAGTTTAAAAAAAAAAAAAAGACTTAATATATACTAAATTGATCTTCTGTATATAAAGATAATTGAAATGAATCTTGATGTGAATGGAATAGGAGAGGTAGCGGGAGATGGGAGGGGTGCGAGTGGGAGGGAAATTACGGGGCGGGGGAGCCATTGTAATCCATAAACTGTACTTTGGAAATTTATATTTACTAAATAAAAGTTAAAAAAAAGACTTATTTATTTATTTGAAAGTCAGAGTTATACAGAGAGAGAAGGAGAGGCAAAGAGAGAGAGAGACACACATAGAGAGAGAGAGGTCTTTCATTTGCTGGTTCGCTCCCCAATTGGCCGCAACGGTCAGACAGCTGCACTGATCTGAAGCCAGGAGCTTCTTCTAGGTCTTCCCATATGGGTAAAGGGCCCAAGGACTACTGTTCTCCCAGGCCACAGCAGAGAGCTGGATCAGAAGTGGAGCAGCCAGGACTAGAACTGGCATCCATATGGGATGCTAGCACTGCAGGCGGCGGTTTTAGCCACTACGCCACAGCGCTGCCCCCTCAAAGAGGCTTTTGAGAGCTGTCCTCCGTCCTCTCCCAGCCCCTTATTTGACAGTTGCAGCAAACGTGGTCCAGGAGGGTGGGCAGTGAGAAGCAAGGCCAGGCAGACAGGCCTTCTTTATTCCAGCGGACGGCCAGTTCCAGCCGAGCGGAGCTTTGCCGGCAAGTTCTCTCACTTGAGATCTTTTTGCCGCGACCAGGTACAGGGGCTTGCAACCCAGGCTGTGGCATCAGGGGGCAGCCTCACAAAATCGGGTCCACTGCTCCATCTGCTCCGCGGACCGGGTCCCTGCCATTCTCTGAAGCTGATCCCATCCCAAAGTCACAGACCCTGCTTCTCTCAGCCAGCTGTATTTCTCAAGTCTGCCCATGAGTGAGAACTGCCCAAGGAGGCTCAGTACTTCTACACAACAGCCCTTGCTGTTTGCCCTCTAATTTCCTATCAAGCTCCTGGTCTGTCAGCTGCCATGAGCTGGGTTTTGTTTTGTGCCTGTTTTTTGTTTTGTTTTGTTTTGAATTTTGAGGTAGAAACATGGGGGCAGGTGGGGTGGGGAGTGAGGGAGGAAGAGAGAGAGAGAGAAAGGAAGAGAAAGCTAGTTCCCATCCATTGGTTCACTTCCCAAATGCCCTCAACAGCTGACAGGGGCCAAAGCTGGGAGCCAAGAATGCAAATCAGGGCTCCACATGGGTGGCAGGAACCCACTGGCTTCAGCCATCACTGGCTGCTTCCCAGGGTGTGCATCAGAAGGAGGCTGGGGTCAGGAGCGGAGCTGAGCATCTAACCAGGCCCTCCAGTATGGTACACCGGCATCCTGACCATTAGGCCACATGTCCACCTCGGTTTGGTTTTTCCATCATGCAGTTCATCTTCACACACACTTCTCTGAAATAATGATGAATGCTTGGAGGCACCTGCTGGGTCACCTCCTCACCCACACATCTCAGAATGGGACATCTCTGACTAATGAGATGGGTCTTGGGTGGGCGCTGGGCATGGTGGTTAAGAAACTGCTTGGGATTGCCCGTATCCCACGTGGCTGGGTTCATGACCCAGCTCCACTTCCAATTCCAGCTTTCTGTTAAATGTATACCCTGATGGCTCTAGCACTTAAGTCTGCCACAGTGGGAGACCTGGACTGACTTCAGCCTGGCCCAGCCCCAACCACCATTGGTATTTGTGAAATGAATCAGCAGATGGGAGATCTGTCTCTTCTCTCTCAAATAATAAACAAATACATAAATAAAATCTTAAAAAGAGATAAGTCATTTTCTCTTATAAACAACTTTTTGAGTACTGAAGTAATACATATTTGCTGAAGATAATCTGGGGAATACAGAAAAATCTTCAGAAATAAGTAAGACTCAAGACAGGCGCTGTGGCATGGTAGGTCAAGCCTCTGCCTATGGCACCGGTACCCCATATGGGTGCTGATTCATGTCCTGGGTGCTCCTCATCTGATCCAGATCCCTGCTCATGGCCTGGGAAAGCAGTGGAAGACAGTCCAAGTGCTTGGGCCTCAGTACCTATGCGGGAGACTCAGAGGAGGCTCCTGGCTCAGCTCCAGGCACTGCGGTCACTTGGGGAATGAAGCAGCAGATGGAAGACCTTTCTCTCTGTCTTTCCCTCTCTCTGTCTGTTACTCTGTCTCTCAAATAAATAAATATTTTTTTAAAAAGAGCTAAACTACTATACCAGATGCTCACCCCAGCCTTCCCCACTCCCCTTTAAAAAGAAAAATATAAGACATCTATAATTTTGCCACACAGTCATATATAACTAGTTAAATGTGGTATTTATATCTACTTTTTTAAAACTGGGATCATACTATGTGTGTATATGTTATCTTTTTTTCACCATACCTTGTATCAATGCATCTTCTTAATGACTGCTTTGAATGGCCTGCTATGTTTAACTTTCCCTAAAAGTTGTTTCCATTTTTCACTTGTTAAAAAAAAAAGGGGGGGGGGGAGGGCAGCGCTGTGGCATAGCAAGTGAAGCCGCTGCCTGCAGTGCCGGCATCCCATATGGGTCCCGGTTCGAGATTCGGCTGTTCCACTTCTGATCTAGCTCTCTGTTATGGCCAGGGAAGGCAGTGGAAGATAGCCCAAGCCCTTGGGCCCCTGCACCTGCATAGGAGACCCAGAGAAAGCTCCTGGCTCCGGGCTTCAATTCGGCACAGCTCCAGCTGTTGTGGCCAATTGGGGAGTGAGCCAATGGATGGAAGACCTCTCTCTCTGCCTTTCCTTCTCTCTCTGTGAAACTCTTTCAAGTAAAATAAACAACTAAAAAAATAAATAAATAAATAAATAAATAAACTGTGAAGAACATTGCTGGATACAAACCTTTGTGCACACATCTAACATTTCTAGAAGTGGAACTGTAGGATAGACCGGTGTGGAAAATGTTCAGACTTCTGATATATAAAATGAAATGGCAGCTTGAGGAAGGCTTAGCAAATCACATTTCCACCTACATGTTC